GTCAGACTGCAGCTGAATCTCACCAAAACAATGTTCATGAGAAACAGACTAGTTCCTGACATTCCATTTGCTCTCAATGGAATGAACATCTCTGAATGTAGCAGTTATGTGTACCTAGGTCAAGAACTCAACATGACAAACGACCTGGCACCTGAACTGCACAGGAGGAAGAGAACCGTGTGAAACACCTTCAAGAGCGTCAAAGAAATAAATAGCTAGAGGATGAAGAACCTCTGGCTCCAGGCATATCTTTTCGACTCCACTGTTCTTTCTGCACTAACATACGCCTCAGAGACCTGGGCCCTACAAAAACAGGATGAGAACGCTATTCGGGTATCCCAAAATGGAATCGAAAGAGCTATGCTTGGAATATCACGTTTGACTCAAATGTGAGAAGAAATCCGGAGTTCCGACCTCCATCAACGATCAAGAATCAGGGACGCTGTCTCATTTGCCAAGGCGTCAAAAATCAGATGGGTTGGACACGTAATGCGATTGAGACAACCGGTAGACTAGAGCTGTTACTGACTGGATTCCACAGGACGTCAAAAGAATGCCTGGCCGCCCACCTACGAGATGGTTGGACTTCTTCGTCAAGACCCTGAATGAATGGTTTGAGGCTCTTCATGTTCCTGGAGTGAGCAGCTGCCACTGGGCTACACTAGCACGCGACAGGGACGAATGGAGACGTTACTGGCATCCGCTCGAGCAAATCGATGAGCAACGGGATGACAAGTAATATTATAACTGATACCAGTCTTTACTTGGTAAAACACTCAAGCCTCAAACAACATCAAAATCTGCGACAGTCGTCCAGTAAAGGCATGTCGACATGGAAATGTGAGAGTGTGGGAGATGTGGCCGAGAGCTAGGAGGCAGACACCTGCCGAGTGCGTGGCACAGAGGCAGCCCCTGGCACCCCACAGAGCCCCGAGCTGTGCTGGGCCGGCACCACCGGGTCTGCCGGGCCACAAGTCCAGCCGCAACTAACTTGGAAAAGGCCAAGAAGAAATCTGTTCACCATCCGGCATTCACCTCTCTCATGCCTGCTCCAGGCAAACAAGTACCAAGCCAATGATACTCCCCACCCTGGGGGCCCTTCCCATGACCCAAGAGCTCCCAAAGGGGGCCACACCCACAATTTCCACAGGCCCAGAGATGAAGGTCATGAGGAGGAAGGATGGGGTTACAAACACAATATATGGACAAGTCTCCAGTGTAAGTGCTTGCAGTGGTCACTTCGGCCACGGCCCTGTCCCAGAGCAGGGAAGCGGGGTCCAACAGTGTTTCAGAGCCTGCCGACCCCCTTCCCCAGGAGACGGTGAGCCACCCACAGTCATATCACTAAGGCACAAACAAGCTGTCCCGTAACGTTCCTAGAAACTGTCTTCCCCCCCTTACATATTCGCCAAATCCACTCAAGACCAAATAAGTAATCTTTTATTTGAGCCATTTATTCAGATAGCCCCTTCTGGATCTTCCACTAACTTATGTCCAATTATCCCATCACCGACCTCATTGTACAAAGCCATTCTTTTCCAACAAACAGAGAATCCCGCTTCCCATGACCATCATTCATTCCAGAGTTTCTTAGTACACCCCCACTGGCAAAAATCTATTCATGCTGGTTTCTGAAAATACTCAGTTATTTCTTTAAAATAAGCATAATGTTGCCACAACTAAGTGTAATGGGAAAGACAATGTAAGATGGCTGGAGTAAGAAGGTAAGCATCGGGCATCCTCAAATTTGGAACGAAGTGTCTGTTGATCGTTTTTATTCTAAACACTGACAATAGGGGTTGGAGAGAGAGTACAGCGGGTAAGGTGTTTTGTCTTGCATACAGCTGACCCGAATTCTATCTCCAGCATCCCATCTGGACCTTTGAGCACCACCAGAAATAATTCCAAAGGTCAAGGCTGCGAGTAACCCATGAACATCACCAAGCGTGGCCCAAACAAAACAAAAACACTGAAAATACTAGAGGCATTAAAACAAACAATAACAAAAACAACAACAACAACAAAAAACTACTCTTCCAACACAATGAGCAAAGAAAAAAACACCCACCACCCACAGCAATTCAAAGATGGGACTGCCCTCTTCCTCAGACCAAAGAAGAGCCTTTAGACAAGTTCACAGTTTTGTTTTGTTTTTTTAGAAAGATTTTATGTGCTAACCGTTCAGTGGTTAGGTTGAACCAGTTTTTGCCTCAACATACTGTTGGGGAATTTTGCCTCAACAATAGAATTCTGGATTCTGCTGCTTTTTGGGACAAAAAGCCATCTTCAAGTAAAAACACAGTAGCTAATATACAGGATCAAACACAGCGTGAGGGCCTTCCTGCATAAATAAAGCCCTTTGTAAAGACATGGGACATGTAAAGACTTTTAAAAATATGCTATAAGCATCATCAGAAATTAGAATCATTTCAATTTACAAGACAAGGCCTAAAGGAAAACTGAATGGGGGTCTTCGCCACAGGTTTTAACTTTTCTTATGCAAGCTGAGCACATAAATTCCCTTTCCTCCCTTCAGCAAAGCCAAAGAAACACTAACTAGAATCCTGAAAATATGCACCAGAAAGAATATACAAAAGATTATCAAGCAATTCATAGCATTTGACACAGGCAGGAGAGAGAAAGAGCAGGAGATAAAGGGGAAGGAGAGAGGAGAGGAAAGAGAGGAGAAGAAAATGAACGTCCTTTTCCAAAGGAAATAAAGAAATAAAGAAACCAAGATCCTAGAATCGTAGGTGTTACTATTTCCTGATATAAAATCAAAATACCCACAGAGAATGCAGATGGTCAATAATAAAACATGTTCTTCTCATGTATACGAGGCTTACAAACCTTAAACAAGGTAAAAAGTAGTTCATCTCATCAACCATCTTCTGCCTAATGCTTCAAACAAGTGTTTGTAACAACTACAAATTGTGCAGTAAAAATAACTAATAATTTATTTTTTCTGTTTTTGGGTCAAACCCAGCAGTGCTCAGGATTTAACTCCTAGCTCTGTGCTCAGGAATCACTGCTGTGGGCTTAGGGGACCGTATAGGGTGCTGGGAACCAATCCGGGGTCAACCACATGGTGCTCTACCTGCCAAATAACGCTTTCTCGGGTGGTTAGTCAGGGTACAATTTAGCAGCAGAGCGCGTTCTCTTGTAATCCAAAGTACAATGACTAGAATTCCGATCCCAGATCAAAGAAAGGTTAAGACCAAATTATTTAAACTGAGTATTAACAAGGGACCGAAACAAACTCCTAAGAACCAGAAAGTCTTCGATGCTATTTCATCCTGGCTCCCTACAACCTTCAACAACCCAAAAACACCTACTGCCCTTGCTGCCCGTTTTGTAGGATACAAAAGCCCTGACATAATCCTCATCCTTCACAGGCTGGCCCTGAACCCCCTCCACCGGACGATCCCAGAAATGGACAATGTGCCCCTACTAACCAACGTGTGATCATGCCTCACGGGCAGAATGTGATCAGAGCCCCAAAAAATAAATGATGCCAAGAGCCCCTAACTCAAAACAACCAGGTAACCTGGCAGGCTAGGAGGGGGTCTCCTTTAATTAAACCCCGAACTTTCTCTTCCCACTATCACAGCACACAGGCGTTACGGGACTGGTTTGCACTCCCACCCGAGATGGTACCTACAGCCCCCAGGCCCCCAACATGGGCTGGATCTCACTGGCGGGGACGGTGGGCTGCAATGGAGCTCAAAGGTGGGCACGGACTCACTCCCAAGGCAGAGACAAGAGATGATGCCAGCCACACGCATGGGAGTGTCACACACATCTGGACTGGCAAACCGAAGGACTCCTCCTCATAGTTCTGAGAAAATCTGGCCTCAAGGTAATCCAGACTGTAGAAATGTACATGGTGGCATTGCCTGATGAACGGGCTTGGAGCCTTAGAGCTCAATGTTCAGGGCCAAAACACTCAAGAGGATTTTCTCTTATCAACACGTGGCTAACCTTTGCCTCTTAATTTACCATCAGTCATTCAGTTCGCCCCTAGCTAGACCGGTTCCTTCAATGGAAGGACAATTCTGTAGAAAGAATGTACAAAACCAGATCAGAGAAATTTCCTTTCCTTTCCCCAACCTCTCATACAGATTCTAAGAAGGGGGAAAAACAAAGAAACAAACAAAAAAAAAAAACAGTACTCTAGTCAACCTAGGAGAACATCGAATATGAGAATGGAAAAGAGACAAAAGGAAATATTAAAGCTAAAGGGCAAAGTTAGGGTGGGGGGTCCCCCAAGCACAAAACACAAGATATAAGCGAAAAAACAAAGGATTTTTTTTTAAACACCCAAACACAGTATTATATGACAACACTTTCACTATTTGACCATAAGCCTACAACCACTACTAAAACTATTACCACAGCCAACTTTCTTATCAAACTATCTTAAGTTTACTTAGAAATTCATATTCAAAAGAACTGCTGTTAAATTAGACATTTCAGAACAGATTCTACACACATCAACTATGCTAAAAAACCCAGTAGACCGTGCTTTGCCGATAAGGGAAAACAAATTTTAAAACAACACATTTCGTTCTTCAAATTTTTGTAAGTTTCACTCTTGAGAGATGGCTGAAGACCTATATAATAGACTCAAGAGCACTACTGGTTTAAAAAAAATCAATTAAAATGAAGAGTAAAGCCAATAGTTACAAGCTGGGAATTCTCTGGCCAATTCCTATGGCAGGAAAGTTTTATTTGCCCCATAGTAATTATTTTTATTCAATTTTGTTAAAAACTCTAGTTAAGGGGTCAATATTTAGAAACCAGGACAGATAATTTAAAAATAAAAAAAAGAAGAAGAAGAAGAAAAGAAAGAAAAAAGAAAAAAAATTCAGAATTCTGAAATTCAGGAACTTGGAGAAGAGGGTCCAAATTTTGGCTCCTGGGTTGGCCAAAGCTGGTGGCCAGCTTGAAGTTCCCAGATTGAGGCACCAGTTAGTTATTGTCCAGCCGTGGGTACTGACCTTTTCCTCGACGGCCCTTCTTCAAAATCTGAAGAACTAACATCGTTGCTAGTAGAGGACACTTGGGATGCATCGTCCTTCTCATTCTCTGACTGTTCTGATGCTGGTCCTAATCCCTTAGACTGGCCATTACCAAGGAGCCCTACAGGTAAGAAAAGGGACAAACACTTAGACACATGACATCCAGAAGCAGTCTGTTACCTCAGTCACCCCTGGACAACAGTGGCCGCAGCCAGCCACATCCGCCAAGGCAAGAATCCGCTCACACGGGTCTCTCTCTTCAGGGCCCTCAGCAGCAAGAAATCCCAGCAGAAAGCCCTGCAGTGACTTTTATCAAAGTAAGGCAACACCTGGTGCAGATTCGGGGAGAAAAGGACTCTCCTTCACTGCTGCTGGGAATGCCAAGTTGTCCAGCCTTTTTGGAAAACAATGTGGACGTTTTCTAAAAAACTAGAAATCGAGCTCCCATTTGCCCAGCAATACCACTTCTGGGAATATATCCCAGAGATGAAAAAAAGCACAGTAGAAATGACATCTGCGGAGCTGGAGCAATAGCACAGAGGGTAGGGTGTTTGCCTTGCACCTGGCCGACCCAGGTTCGATTTCCAGCACCCCATGTGGTCCCCCCAGGAGTAATTCCTGAGTGCAGAGCCATGAGTAATCCCTGTGTAATGCCAAGTGTGACCCAAAAAGCAAAAAAAAAAAAAAGAAGAAGACATCTGCACTTGAATGTTTATGCACCACAATTTACAATAGCCAGAATCTGAGAAAAACCCGAGTGCCAGAGAACAGATGACTGGTTAAAGAAACTTTGGTATATCAGCACAATGGAATACTATGCAGCTCTTAGAAAAAAAATGATATCATGAAATCTGCATATAACTGGATCAACATGGAGAGTATCATGCTAAGTGAAATGAGTCAGAAAGAAAGGGACAGACATAGAATGACTGTACTCATTGGTGGAATATAAAGTATAACATAATAGGAAACTAACGCCTAAGGACAGAAGAAACAAGGGTCAGGAGGATTGCCCCATGGCTTGGAAGCCAATACCATACGCTGGGGGAAAAGGCAGCTGGGATGAAGAAAGGAGCACTAAGTAAATGATGCTTGGAGGGATCGCTCAGGAAGGTAGATACGTGCTGAAGGTAGACTATGGAACAAACATGATGGCCGCTTAGTATCTGTATTGCAAGCCACAACACCCAAAAGGACAGAGAGTCAGAGGGAATGTGCCTGCCACAGAGGCAGGGGGTGGGAAGGGGTGGGGTTGCGGGGAGGGATACTGGGGACATTGGTGGTGGAGAATGGGAACTGGTAGAGGGATGGGTACTTGAACACTGTTTGACTGGAACATAATCATCAAAGTTCGTAAGTCTATAACTGCATCTCATGGTGATTCATTAAAAAAAAAAAGAAAATTTTTTTAATTAAACAAACAAAAACAAAGTAAGCCAACACCATCGAGGGGTCAGGTGGTGGTGGGGATAGGGTCAGAAGGAATGACATCTAAGTTGGCCTGCAAATGTTCACTCTAGAAATATTAAGATCCTCCAGGGCAGGAAGCAGCACCTGGCACCCCAGAAAAGGCATCATGGTCGGGCCGCCAGGCTGCAATTAGAAAGGGAGATTCGTGACTTCCTGGACTTTAAGGCTCAAGGTCATCAGAACCTACTGTGTGTGTGGAGGCAGGGTGGGGGTGGGGTGGGGGGGGGGGGGAAAGGGACGGTAGTGCTTCCAGGGAGTTTTAGGGCCAATGGGGGGGGGGGGTAGCGCTTCCCTGGAGTTTTAGGGCCCCAGGATCGGCCTTTACCAACCCAACTGGAGAGCTGTCATGGGGAAGAGTCTGCCTTAGTGCTCCCAGGGAAACAGGAAGCTACTGACAGGCGAAGCAGCACTCTGGGGTCAGCCAGAGGAAAGTCTGGTCTTCAGAGTGGGAGACGGAGAGGTCAGCCTTGCGGGAGGCTACTCTGGCCAACCTCCTGCAAATCCCTTGAGTTGCATGGAGTCACTCCAGATGACCTAGGGGATCACTCCCGGGCACGGGGTCAAGAGTGATCCCTGAGCAGGCGGGGCAAGCTCCGGGGGACTGGGGAGCCCTTAATCGCTGCCAAGCCACTCACGGGCCTCGCAGAAGTGCCGGCACCCAAACTACAGTGTCAGTGTTTTGATATTCAAGTTGAAAGTGGTTCAGGGTTTCCCTGGTTGTGTGGGGTGCGTCTCCGAGCCCGTACCCTGCTGTGGTCGTGTGAAGAGAGTGACACAGTGCCAGGGCCTGAGCTCACAGCCTCAAGCTGGGCTGCAGCCCTCTGGACCGCTGCTTTCTGCTCCTGAAATGAGCTCTTTCCGCCTCTGCGCCTGATGCGCGAGCACTGTCTTTCTTGAATCCCCTCTCCACTGAGCCAACGAAGAGCCATTCATGAACCGCCTGGAACACGATCCCGATACTGGATCAGGCTCTGGATAGTTGGTGAGATTTTTTGAAAGAACCTAGGATTCCTCGGCAAAGCCCCAGGAGGTGGCCCATTTTTTGCAGGTGGGTCTCCGGGTGTCAGTCTTCCCAACATTTCCAAGTCTGAGTCATAACCTGAGGCTAGAAATTGAAGACATCGCAGTCGATCTAAGCTCTGGGAGTCCCTTAAACCTGCATCCCTGGGAAGTCTGTAGCCATGGCCGTAAGACTGAAGTGAAACACACACACCATTTCCCAAAGGAGACTCAGCTGCAGGAGGGCGCCCTGCGAGGGGGCCCAGCCAGGCAGGGCGACCGCGGGCATCCGTCACGTCACACGGCCGCCGGGGCTCGGAACTATGGGCCAGTGTGGAATAAAGAATTTCTCAATCTGATTTAGGTCAGATTAATTCAAAACCCAATCTGTACAGGAACGCTTTATTCCTTTCGATTGATTCTTGAAACACTTTCAGACGGACGACTCTATCACGGCACATATGGTAAACGTTAATCTCACCTGCTTCTTGGGTTTTGTCTAACGCAGTTGGAGAAAACTGAAAATTGCTTATGCGGTTGAAATCATGTCTCCATGGGTCAGATCTAATTAGAGCGCTTTAGAGATGTGGCTGGTGGTGGGGCGGGGGTGGGGGTGGGGGAGCAGAACACCAGAGCGAAGGACAATCCAGGAGCACAGAACAGAACAGAATAGAGTGACCTCACAGACAATCTCACAGGTGCCAGCCCAGGGGTCCACTATACATCAGCTGTGGAAAGGAGAGGATAAACTGGCCCACCGGAAGAAGATGGGAACTACAAAACCAAAGAACTGAGGTACAGAGTCGTATATAAACTGACAGAGAAGGACTGGATAGAGAGAGTTCTGCGGGTAGGGCACTTGCCTTCTGTGCTGCTGACCCAGGTTTGATCCCCAGGATCCCATAAGTCCCCTGAGCCAGTCAGGGATTCCTTTCTCCTGTTCTTTGTTTTTTGGACCACACCAGGTGATGCTCGGTGGTTACTCCTGGCAATACTCAAGAGGACCACATGAGATGCCAGGGATTGAACATGGGTCAGAAGAGTACAGGGCTGTACTATCTCTGGCCCCAGGAGAAATTCCCGAGAACAGAACCAAGAGTTACTCCTGAGCACTGGATATGGCCCAAAAAAAAAACAAAACAGAAAGAAAGAAAAGGAGAGCAGAGGAGAGCAGAGGAGAGAAGGAAAAAGAGGGAGAGGAGAGAGAAAGGAGGAAGGAAGGAAGGAAGGAAGGAAGGAAGGAAGGAAAGAAGGAAAGAAGGAAGGGGAAAGGAGAAAGGTATCTTAAACATCAGTTTTGTAATTTCAAGTTATCAGTGCATGTAAATAAATAGAAATCAAAAAGAAAATGCGAAGGGAAAGAAACAGAGGACCTGGATTCATCCATTCATACATGAAACAACCACCCTCGGGGCCTGGGAAAATACCTACGGGTCAGAGCAGCACCTAAGTCCTAGTGAAACGCTGCACAACAGCACAGTGGGTAGGGTGTTTGCCTTGCGCACAGCCAACCCGGGTTCAATTCCCAGCATCCCATATGGTCCCCTGAGCACCGCCAGGGGTAATTCCTGAGTGCAGAACCAGGAGGAACCCCTGTGCATTTCCAGGTGTGACCCAAAAAGCACACACACACACACACACACACACACACACACACACAAAAGGGGGATGGATGGTGAAGCCGCTGGAAGAAGGGCTTGTTCTAGTCACGAGGCACTGAGACGACAGGGAAAGAACTAGGGCATGTTTGGGACACAAAGGGACAGTAAGCTATTTGCTGAGTGAGGAAGCAGCTAATGAGTGAGTGGGAGAGCGGAGGGTTTAAGAAGAGCCACGTCAAGGTCTTTGGTGGCGGTTATACCCCTGTTCCTTTCGTAAGAAGAGTGGAGAGTCACAGAGATAGCACAGTGGCTAAGGGACACAGCTCGTCAACCTGTTTCAATCCCTGGTATGACAGGGTCCGCCAAGCAGCACAAAGCACAAAGCCAGGAATAGCCCCTAAACGCTGCCAATGAGAACCAACCCCCCTCCCCCATCTGCTACCTGAGAGGTTGAGGGGAGGAGGGAGATGAATAAACTGAGGAATTGGGTATTTGGCTCTGTGCTAGGTAGAGCACAGGCCATGCATGTGTGAGGCCCTGGATTCAAACTTCTAAGAGGGGGAGGGGTGGAGTGTCAGAAGGGGCAATGACAGGTAAGAGGGAAGGAGGGGGTCCTCAGCAGATATAAAGGGCCATTCTCCCGAAATTGGAGCACCAAGCAACAACCCCGGAGTGCTTGGTCCATCCTATCTCTATCACCTAGTCTGACACCGATGTCGCATTTGGCTGGTCCAGGCCCCAGATTTGGACAACTGCCACCAAAAAGAAAAGCGAGACCCAAACTCATATGGGACACTGTTTCCCAGAGAGCCTAGGGAAGTATGGTCACTCCAGGAAACCGGTTATGATATCCCAATGTTAGCACACAAACACAACCCAGCCTATGGAACACAACCCACGGGCTCAACACAAAAACTCAGTGGGGGCCGCCTTCTCCCACCTTTCCTTCATAACGCTGCCAAGGGAAAGGAGGATGCCCCTGGAACCCCACAAGACCTAAGAGTCACTCGATGGATGAGGAAAGAGACACACATGTTGGAAAACCGTACTC